AAAATAGCTCTATGTCGTTATATAAACAAACCCTACTCTAATATTTATAATAAGACACTGCGGTGCACTGAAAAGCACAGCATGGTGCGTAGTTTACTTTTATAGTAAACTATTTTTATAGTCCCAAAATCTATAGCGATGACGGACAGACACAGCCCGCTTATATTATACTAGCTGCATCCCGTGCTCCGCCACGGTAAATCTTTTTTAAATGTACCAACAGAACAAAACTAAACACAACACAAATGAACGCCAAAAAAAAAACGAAAAAACAAACACAACACTCATAACATAAATACAATTTAAATGCAATCATAAAGGCATATTGCTCACAGTCTAGCCCGTAGCGCCAAATCGCGCCCTTTCCGGTGATTTGCACCCCCTTCAAACTTTCGATTTGCACCCCTTTCCCCCCCCCCCCCCGCCCTAAAACCTTCGATTTCCACCACCCCCCCCCCCCCCCTCGCAAATTTTTTACAACCCACTTTGGCGCCCCCCAAGGTCGGCACCCGGGGACATATGCCCCCCCCCCCCCCTCGCTACGCCTCTCCTATAAAACCCGAAAGATAGAATAATAATTAGAAAACAGTATAAATAATAGGCAGTATCTATAATATATACAATATTTCACTTTATCGATTCACGCATTTTTTTTCCAGTACTTTAAATTTTAAAAATTTACAATAGAGTTTCATAACTAAAACCATTGCGCACCTAATGAACGTGATGACGCGTCTATAATAGAGCTGAATAGTTGATTAAAAATTATAAGTAATAAACAGTAGGGCCTACATTCAGTGAATAAAATAAATAAAAGATTGCCTTTTATCAATCCATGCTAATTATAATTTTCAAACAATAATTTCCTCTTACACATCCGAATAATTTGCATTCACATTTTGCTAATTATATTATTGCAACACTAATTCCTTCTATGACGAACGTATATTTGCATTTACATTTTTTATTAGCGTGAGTTTAATGTATTTTTAAATTACCTCCGTTGTCAAAATTAGAAAAGAGTTAAATTAATTTGATTTTTCTACCGTACTGTTATTATCTTATTAAAATGTATCCACTTTTTCTGGGAACCTAAACGAAAATGATATTTGACATTAATCTTTTTAATACGTTTTAGCAGTTTGCGTGTATTTAATATTTTCTTGACGTTATGCGAAAGAGTAAAAACCGTGGCAATTATAAAATAGCTCTATGCCGCTATATAAACAAACCCTACTCTAATACATATAATAAGACACTGCGGTGCACTGAAAAGCACAGCATGGTGCGAATGTTTACTTTTATGGTTCCAAAATCTATAGCGATGACGGAAGGAAGGAAGGAAGGAAGGAAGGAAGGAAGGAAGGAAGGAAGGAAGGACTGACACACTACCAGCAGCGTTATATTATAGATTATATATATATACTAGCCGTCCCGGCCAGGCCCTGCTCTGGCTTCTGTGAAAAACCTTTCCGTTAAAGACCATTACCTGTGTGTTTAGAAATCATCATAAACCCGGCATTGCCCATCCAAACCACAACCAACCAAAACAACAAAACGCAAACATAACGCTAACACAATTAGAAATACAAACGAAAACAAAAACCTAACAACAAACCCAACCACAACCACAAACACCAATACAAACACAAAGAAAAAACAAACGAAAACAAAAACCTAACAACAAACCCAACCACAAACACCAATACCAAAAAAAAAACAACGAAAAAGCAAACGAAAACAAACCAAATCCAAACGCAAAACCAACCAAAAACACAAATACAAACCCAAACAAAAAAAAACACAAACAAAAACGAAAAAAGAAAGAACAAAAACGAACCAAATCAAAACGCAACCACTAACGCAAACCCACCTAAACACAAAGAAAACACTAACGCGAACATAAACGCCCGGGGCAGAATCGCCTGTTTTAGCTTAATAAACGACTATAGTACCCCAACTTATTCATAGTTTTTGCACACACTTAAACGAACGCGCCTGTTTCAATTTAATGAACAATTATAATACTCCAAGCTTATCCGTAAAATACCTAAAACATTTGCACTTGATCAATCCCCGCTAATTATGTAATTATTTTTTTCCCAACACCAAAACAAAGTAATTAAAAAGTAAATGCTTTTCAACTAATGCTATGGTTTTATAAAGGGAAGTAATTGTGTTTTGCCTAATTTATCAAAGGGAAGTAAGCGCTATAGGACTAAATAAAAACATAATTAGAATTTTTGTAAAAGATGATATTTTTTTAAAACTTGTGTTTAATGAACATGCCGACAATTATTACTATAATTTGAAAAATGAAAATGATTTCCCAACACTTTTAATAGTAATTTTTTAACTCATAAATTTAGACAACTGCGCACGATAATTGATCTAACACTTAAATCCGTAGAAATGCCAACGACAAACATATGCGTTACAGAATTGAGCTTTATATATTAGATATATATATATATATATATATATATATATATATATATATATATATATAGGTATAGGTATAGGTATAGGTATAGGTATAGGTATAGGTATAGGTATAGGTATAGGTATAGGTATAGGTATAGGTATAGGTATAGGTATAGGTATAGGTATAGGTATAGGTATAGGTATAGGTATCATCTACTATTGGAAGGCGACAATTCTGGAAGAAGCCAAATGTCCAAATTTGGTTCTCGGGCTCCCTCCAAAATATTATTACAAGGTGTAACGTTTGTTTTCAAAATTTTCTACTATAATGATTTTGTCTTATTTTTTAAAAATGGCATAAACTGTAGAAACTAGATACAACTGTTAGTTGATTGTAGAAATCTGTTTGTTTTTAAAATTAGAATAAGTATTAAAAAAGGATACCCACCTCCTTCATCCCGATCCTCTTTTAAAATTGAATCCAAACCACACATTCCAAAATTAAAAATTGCAAATTCTTTCCTAAAAATAAATCAATTGTTTACTACCATATATATATATAGATATATAAAGCAAAGTATGTTTGTGTGTCTGTCTGTTTGTCCTTTATGCATTACTACACCTCTCATCACATCGCCATGAAACTTTGGGAAGTTGTTGAGAATATTCCTGGGGAGTTTTCTGCGAAAAAAAAATTCAAATTCGCATGGGTGGCGCCCCGACAGGGCGCAATTTGTTTTTTTCTATATACGGTATATAAAAATAAAAGTCGATTTTGGTTTGGCATCGTTCATCCGATAGCCAAGAGACTTTGGGGAGTTCATTATACCGCTCTAGGGAAGGGTTCTGTAAAAAAATTATTTTTAATTTCGCAAGGGCGGCGCCACGGGAGGGTCCGATTTTTCTCTAAATACGGTATATAAAAATAATAAAACGTAATTGCAGTGACACCGTTTATCCGATAGGCATGAAACTTTAGGGAGTTCATTATAAAACTCTAGGGAAGGGTTCATGCGGTAGTGTAGGTAAACCCGTGTCCTGATATTTATGATCCAAGCGCAGGCATTGTTTACATTTAAATAACTCACTTTTAGAAAAGAAGGTCACGCGTCTAAGAACATATAATTATAATTGATAACGCGTTGGTGAAATCCTAATATATTTCGTCAAACTTTCTTCTATCCCTGCGGCAAAGCGCGGGGGTCGGGTTCGCGAATATATATATATATATTTATATATATATATATATATTTATATATATATATATATATTTATATTTATATATATATATATATATATATATATATATATATATATATATATATATATATATATATATATGTGTGTGTGTGTGTGTGTTTGAAATGATGTGTGTGTTTGCTTGTGTGTGTTTGATACACCACGCCCCGTTCATCCATTCGTCAAAAAATTTGCGCTAATTTGGGGAATGCTCCTAGAAAAAAATAATTTTCTTAACACACCCTTTTTGATAAAATCCTCTTTAAAAAATTGAATAAGTTGTCATCAACATGTAGGAAAGCTATGCTAATAGATTTACAATTTAATTTTTTTACCATCCATCCATCCATCCATCCATCCATCCATCCATCCATCCATCCATCCATCCATCCATCCATCAATCCGTCCATCCATCCGTCCGTCCGTCCGTCCGTCCGTCCGTCCGTCCGTCCGTCCGTCCGTCCGTCCGTCCGTCCGTCCGTCCGTCCGTCCGTCCGTCCGTCCGTCCGTCCGTCCGTCCGTCCGTCCGTCCATCCATCCATCCATCCATCCATCCATCCATCCATCCATCCATCCATCCATCCATCCATCCATCCATCCATCCATCCATCCATCCATCCATCCATCCATCCATCCATCCATCCATCCATCCATCCATCCATCCATCCATCCATCCATCCATCCATCCATCTATCCATCCATCCATCCATCCATCCATCTATCTATCTATTTTTCTATCTTTCTATCTTTCTATCTCTCTATCTATCTTTGTCATTTTATCTATCTATCTATCTATCTATCTATCTATCTATCTATCTATCTATCTATCTATCTATCTATCTATCTATCTATCTATCTATCTATCTATCTATCTATCTATCTATCTATCTATATATATATATATATATATATATATATATATATATATATATATATATATGTATAATTTATATATAATTGTATTTCTACACCTTTCTTCCTATTATCATGAAACTCTGGGGAGTTTATAAAATTGTTTCAGGAAAGGTAGCTGCGAGAAGAAAAAACACATAATATCGAAAGGCGGCGGTCCGGTCGGCTGTGATTGATAGATCAAATTTTCCCGGTGGCTAGCTCAGCACCTGAGAACGGTTGATTTGACGACTTGGACAGAGAGTCACCTGTACTACTTGATTCGACTGTCGAACCGCGTTGATTGAAATAGTGCATACAATAAAAACAGATTGATCCGCCACACCCGGGTTATCAGAGTTCTAGGACGTCCTGGGATCACCGCAAGTACATTCGTTAATTAATTAAAACTGTTGCCACTATGTTCGTAAAACCGGTGGCTCTTGAGAGTTCCACGCGAAGCTCCTTACCCCATGGGTGGTCAACGACTGGCATTCTACTTCACCCTTCAGGAAATTGATTAACGTATACTGGATATCTGTTTATTTTTACTGATGCAATATGCATCTGTATTTACAACGATAGCAATAGATGTGGAAAGAAAATTAGGTCACGCGTATAAAAATACTTAATTTTTAAGAATTTAATTTTAACAAAATGTGTGTCTTTGAATTTCTTTTCTTCTGAGATCGCAGCAACGCGTGTGACGGGTACGCTAGTAAAACATAATAATTATCATTAAAAAAGTTTAAAAAACCCCACGTTTTCTGATTGAACTAAAAAGTAGAAAATAAATGCTATACATCACAATAATGCAAACGATCACTCTACTATAAGCGATGAAAAACGTGGGGCGCCGAAGTAAAAGTTTTTTATCAGTCATTGTTAATATGAGATGTAAAAGTTATATTACTATTGATTAGATAATACTATTGACTTTTATTAGGGAGCTTGTAGAGAGTATTAGAAACTGTAAGAAAATCACGGCGCCCCACGTTTTTCAAAAAAAAACCTTTTTTAATTATAATTATTTTCTACTTTTTAGTCTTTGTCTGTTTGTTTGCATTAAAATCTTGCTATCGATTTTATCTTTTCGCATTCACTTTTTTTTGGGTAAACGAAGACAACTCGTAAAAAACACTTGCCTTGAACCCGTGTCGAGTGGGTTAGCAATCGTGTGCCCAACCACTCGACCATATCGTCTCCCCCATACTGGCCACCAGTTGTTCCGGTTGTTTGTACACAAACACCGCGTGACCAAAAACTCATTAAGCCAAAAGAGGGAGAGTACCGAACCTTGTTTTCATCAAATTACAATTACTGGGTTATGTCCCTTTTCCCCACGTTTTTTTGTACAAATATATAGCGGTCTAAAATGATCAATAAAATGTTTCCATGGATCAATTTAGTAAAAATAACGATTGAATATTCTATTGTCGTCGGAAACAAAGCTTCCCTGAAAATTTCAGCGCGCTAGCTAACTGGGAAGTGCCCGAAATTTCGATCGCAAGATTTGATTGGAAAAACAGACGCGAAAGCAAGTTAAAGAAAACGTGGGAAAAATAAGTAAGATTGAGATATATTAACATAGATATCAAAAGCAAAAAAAAGTATAAGTAAACATGTACCAACGATAACGTCCCAGATAGATATTACTAAAAACAACTCACTCTTTAACCTCCTGTATTTCTTTCTTGTGATAATATCCTGTATCCATGTTGTAGAGATAAAAAAAGATGCGCTTGTCAGACTGGTCGGAAGCTGATATAACTAAGAGTTGTCTTGCGTAGTTCCTAGAGGCATATACTCAAGTGACTTATGTTTATTGTAATATATATATATATATATATATATATATATATATATATATATATATATATATATATATATATATATATATATATGTATATATATATATATATATATATATATATATATATACAATGTATGTATGTGTGTCTGTGTGGCTGTCTGTTTTTCTGTTATGCATTACTACACCTTTCATCCGATCGCCATGAAACTTTGGGAAGTTGTTGAGAATATTTCTGGGGAGGTTTCTTCGAAAAAAAAACTTTAGTGAGTTTATGAATACACCCGAGAAGGTTTCTGGTGTTGGAGGGGGTGGGAGGGGTGGGGTGGGTGGATGGTGGGAGGGGGGATTTATGTTTGCATGGGCGCCTTGATCTTTCCTATGAGAGCTATGGCGACTACGTTTGGTCTAAACAGTGTGATAGACAATGGATAGGATGGGGCGTTAGACATGCTCACTAAATTTAATCAGGCGTGTCCGCCGGCGCACTGGTAGGCTGCAATTTGGCTGTAAACAAAAATTTTAGTTTCGGCCCCCAAATGCTCACATTGGTCGCTGAGGGCCATGTAATACTTCCGTAAAAAAACCAAACAGATTCGTCACTTTGCGAATGGTGCAATTAGTATCTTTTTTTAGACTTTCCAATCAGAAATTGTGATCGAGCATCTAATAAAAGATCATTAGTAACGCTAGCATATTGCATCAGTCACACTGAAGTTTAAAACACGTCAAATAATTTTTTTACGTGTTAAAGAAAAAATCCTTTTCATTTTTGTCACTTTAGGGCATGACGCACGCAATCTGCATCATCGTTAACAGGATGCTATTTAGCACGATGGCGCCAGTTAGTTTTTTAGGAGCCAGGGGCCGTACGTGATTAGTGTACACTCAAGGTTTTCATGCGGTAGGTAAACCCGTGTCAAGATATTTATTATTCAAGCGCAGGCATTGTTTAAATGTAAATAACTCACTTTTAGAAAACAAGATCATGCGTCTAAGAATATAGTATTGGTAACACATGGTTGAAACCCTTCTTATATATTTTGTCGGACTTTCTTCTATTCCCGTGGCAACGCGCGGGGACGGGGACGGTAGTATCTTTTAAAATATAATCAATATATGAACATCATGTAATACATTATATGTCAAAATAATTGTCTTTGGAACTTAGTCTAAAACCTAATACATTACCTACATTTTATTGGTAATAGTTACCCTTCATTTCATGAATTAACTTTTTACTTTCTCGTATATAGAAGTATAAAGTCTTGTAATCGTGCAAAAAAAATCGAAATTTTTACAAATCTCGACGTTTTGCATCTCACGGATACGGAAAAACATAATTTTGCAATCTTGTCCGTATGTCTGTGTGTCTGTGTGTGTGTGTCTGTCTGTGTGTAAACACAATAACTTGAGTACCGTTACAGATAGGGTGATGAAATTTCATTTATAAGTATTTTATCAAAATCGTAGATCCGTATCAACTTTTGAGCGATTTCTGAAAACCGCAAGTGGTACTTTTTCTACTTTGAATTTTTCAAAAGCCTATAACTTGAGTACTATTTCAGATAGATAAATGAAGTTTAACATGTAAATAAAAAATCTAATTCTCTAACTTGTGTAAAATTTTGAGTAATCTCCGTTGACCGGAAAAACTGATTTACGCTATTTCCGATTTCTCAAAAAACGCATGTAAATTTATAAAGTACTAATAATATTGCGCACTATTATACACATTTTGCTTTGGCGTTCGCTTGGTGCGCAATTCTTTTTTCTATGAGATTCTATTCTATTTTTAAAAGTTTAAGTAATTAAAAATCATATCTATATTCCAAGCTATATAAGAATGTTCGAGAAAGTTTATTGAAACCGGTTTGAATGAAAAAAATTACCGACGGGTAGGTTATAGAATGTAGAATACATAAATAATAAGAAAAACAATTTTTTTGTCATGAAAATTTTATTTTTGTAAAATAACAGAATGTAGCAAAATTGCTACGATATTTACTCATGGAATTTCAAAAAACAGTTCTTGTTTTTAGTAAAGCAAATGTTACATTTTTTACACCAATAGCTGCTTACTCCATTGCAGTCTGGAAACTTGCACCCTTGTCGTGCATCACCATGTACCATTCAATGACCAATTTGATCAGTTCTAATGTTTGTAGGTGGGACAACAGCAATGTGTCCTCTGTGTCTTTTAACCTAAATCATTCGGTTAATGTCAGATGGCCTTCCTCTCTTTTTATTTTGGGAGGTTTCCACTCACAAAAACACTGTGTAACTTTATAATGTCATTTTTGTTGTATCACCGGTTTCGAAATCTGTTCTTATATAAAGAAGCCAAGAATTGACAGATGTTACATCCATCAAGTGGCAAAAAATTCTGGAATACCATATCTTTGATAGTAAGAGTATTCTGTGTCTGGCAATATCACTGTCCAGTAAATCAACACCCCCATGGATTGATTATATTCCTTTATAATATTGGGGCAGTCAATAATTTCTTTTCTTTTTCTGTCGAAACGAACAAATGTTGCTATAGGAAGTTCTCCAGAACAGGTAGACAGTAATTTCACTCGTTTGTTGTCTTTCAATATCACATTGCTCACAGCAACTCCATCAACTGTAGCTGTGAATTCTTCAGAGGTTCCTCTAGGCAGTTTTTTTTTCAAATTTTGCATCATCCATCAACTTCCAGTTTTGGATTATATTCCTCCAAACGGTACCCAAAACATATGTCCCTTGTTTGGCCATACGAACTACCATTGGCAGCGACATATAATAATTATCACAGGAGAGTTTAACTTTTTGGTATTTCCTAACAACATTTGAGAGACATCAACAACGTTTGCACTGGCATCTAATTCCGGCTCATTATCATTTCTTTTTGTTAAATAATTTGTGGGGTCGGAATAAATTTCAAAGCTTTAGGCAAAGCCAGTGGCTCCACATAAAACAAATAGCTTAAAGCCCCACTTATTGGGCTTTAACGGCAGATATTGTTTTAGATGGCGCCTTGCTTTAGTTGCACATATCTGTTCATACACAGCCATACACGGTTCATTGGGCGCTGCAGAAAATACGTCATTCAGCTTGTCTATGATTGGTCTCAATTTGAATAATTATTATGCTGAGGATGCCTTTTATCTAAAATCAAATTATTGTCATTGAAGTGCTGCGTACCTTAAACCTGTTTATGGGCATATAATTACTTAATTTACTGATGCTAATATTAGCTCACCAATACCACCTTGTCCTAGGTAATAAAATTTCAGACATGTATTGTAAAATCCCAATAAAATATTTTATTTCCATTTCATTTAAAACCATACTTTTATTTGGATTCTTCTGTGTGCAGTAAAAGTTAATTTGTTCACAAATAAAGCTAACACAATCATCATCAATGAAATGATGAAAATAATCATAAGGTGTCTTCAGTAAAGTTGTGTAACTGAATCTGGAAGCACTAAGCAGCCTTTGAAGTTGAAACTTTTTTGGTTAAGAGCTAATTTTTTTCCATGTCACTTTAGCAGTGGTGCCTGATGTAGAAGTATTTACATATATCGGTGGTAGAGTTGATGATGAAGCCCGCGGTTACGAATCAGATCCTCACTCTCCTCGGTGCCACTATCTATGTGTTCTTGCTGAACTGCAACTTCATCTTCACACTCAGAAGAATCAGAGGAATCATCTGACATTGCTTCAATATCACTCTCATCTAGATGCTTTAGGAAATCTGCTAGCTCACTTTCAGAGAGAATTATGCGGCCAGGGCCTTTGTTCATTTTGATACCTGAAAATAAAATTTAAAAAATAATGTTACCACTAAAACTGTCTATACATTATATATATATATATATATATATATATATATATATATATATATATATATATATATATATATTATGTATAAAGTTCCATATAACTAAGTAGATTCTTGTGTATGTACTATTACTAGATCTAGGTAATAATAAATCAGAACTAATAATACTATCACATATTATGACACTCTATGTCTTCAAGAAAGATACATGTATATTACTTTTAGTAAAAAAACTATAGATTAAGTTCAATGTAACTATTTGGCAACCTGTAGACCCACAAATCAATTAAGGAATTAGATAGATCTATAGATTCAAGACTAGATCTAGTTTGAGTTAGGATTTTAGCACTAGTAGTATGTAGTACGTTGATCTTAGTCTAGAATCTAATTCTAGATTCTAATTTTATTTATATATATTCTATATAGATCTATAACATTTCTTTTCAGTAATTTCTTTTATAAAAAAATATTTAAAAATAGCAAGCAGATCTAGTATAGATTTCAATAAAGGTAACTAAATCTAGATGTAAGTAAATTATGATTGATTCTATAAAAGTAACATTTCACTATGATGTTATAATCTTGAATCTAATACAATAATATGTAAATAACAAAGCTGTATGTAAAACTTCTTACCTTCGAAGAGGAAAAATATTTTTTATGACAAAAATTGCAGCCTGTACATTGAATTTGACTTCTCAAAATGAACCTCTTCAAACACTGTCTGACTGACGGATTCAAATCAAATCTCGAGCGTGTCATACAAAGCGCACCTATAGTCTGCAGGCTTAAATCTAGGTCAAAAGTGAACCAGCAGCAATGGGAACATTTTAAAAGTAGATTTTTATCTTTTTTTTTTTTTACAAATCTCGACATTTTACACAGTAGGAAAAATATAGTTTTGCTATCTTGACTGAGTGGGGGTATGTGTGTGAAAACGATAACTTAAGTACGTTACAGCTAGTTTAATGAAATTTCATACACAAGTATTATATCTAATTAGTAGTTCTGTGTCAACTTTACCGGTAACTGGAAATTGAATTTATTCTACTTTAAATGTTTCAAAAGCCGATAACTTGAGAACTGTTTAAGATAGATTAATGAATTGTCACGTGTAAGTTAACAATCTAATTGTCTGCCTTCTGTTTAATTTTGAGTAATTTCCGTTGACCGGAAGTAGTAATTTACACTATTTCTGATTTCCTAAAAATACGCATGTGAATTTATAAAGTACTAATAATATTCAGCACTATTATACATAGATTTTTTTGTGTTTACTTGATGCGCAATTCTTTTTTTTTTAAAGGTGTAAGTAAAAAAAAAATAGATTAACAATCATGTCTATACCCCGAGTTGCCATCCCCCGTAGTGTTATAAAAGAATATTCTAGAAAGTTTAGGGGAGATCACTACCGGTTTATTTATTACAATATTTACGCTTTTTTAACCCTTTATTAAAATGGTTAAATATAGAAAGATAAGCTTAGTAACTAAGCTTGTTATATCGAAATTTATTAAGTGAGGGTGAGGGAGAGGTAAAGGGCATAATTTACATTAAAAAACAGGAACTTTGTTCGTATTTACCCGAACCAAGGGAGAAAAAAAAACTGTATAGAAAGATGTCGCAGGTAACGCCAGCATGGAATCCATCCAGTAGCCAGTCAGTTTATCGATGAACAGCACAGTAATAGCGAAATCGTATTCATACTTGGGGTTTTCAAATACAATCGATCTGTAATTCTCGCTGTTTTAATGTCAAATGTGTTGGTTAATTAAAGTGATAATAATTAGACATTAACACATTATCGAAACAGCATTAATTTGTATATTATTTCATAAGTTCATTCATTCATTCGTGCATTCGTTTATTTTTTCATTCGTTAATTCATTCATTCATTCATTCATTCATTCATTCTGTCATTCGTTCATTCATTCATTCGTTCATACGTTGATTCGTTCAATTTTTTTTTTCAAAATATCCATCTTTCAGTCTGTCTATTGTTCAATAGATCAATAGTCCCTTCGTTAGTGTTCATTTTTACTTTTTCGTATATACGAAGTATAGAGAAAGTCTTGTAATCGTGCAAAAAAAAAAATCGAGATTTTTACAAATCTCGACGTTTTACACCTCACTGATACGGAAAAACATAATTTTGCAATCTTGTCCGATGTCTGTGTGTCTGTCTGTGTGTCTGTCTGTGTGTCTGTCTGTTCGTGTGTAAACACGATAACTTGAGTACCGTTACAGCTAGGTTGATGAAATTTCATATATAAGTATTTTATCAAAATCGTAGATCCGTATCAACTTTTGAGCGATTTCCGATAACCGGAAGTGGTACTTTTCCTACTTTAAATTTTTCAAAAGCCTATAACTTGAGTACTATTTCAGATAGATAAATGAAATTTCACATGTAAGTAAAAGATCTAATTCTCTACCTTCTTTTAAATTTTGAGTAATTTTCGTTGACTGGAAGTAGTATTTTACGCTACTTCCGATTTATCAAAAAACTAATGTAAATTTTAAAAGCACTAATAATATTGCGCACTATTATGCGCTTTTTTATTTGGCGTTCACATGGTGTGCAATCAATTTGTCTACGAGATTTTATTCTATTTTTAAAACTTTAAGTATTTAAAATGGATTAAAAATCATGTCTATAGCCCGAGTTCCCATCCCCTGTTATTTTATATAAGAATATTCGAGAAAGTTTAGGGGAGATCACTCCCGGTTTATTTAAATAGTATTTCGAAATAAATGTGAAAGTGAAGAAGAGTGTGGTTATGTCGTTTTTTTATTTTTGTGGATGTTGGATTTGATTGTGGATCTATTACATTTTGAAAAAGGTGACGCATTAATGCATGTAAATTAACACATTAATGTGTGTATGAGTGTGTCTCAATGTGTGTATGAGTATATATATATATATATATATATATATATATATATATATATATATATATATATATATATATATATATATATATATATATATATATATATATATATATATATATATATATATATATATATATATATTTTCACTGGTAAGTATGTGAATACGCATGTGTACATGTATTTAAATATTTTTTTCTTCTGGATGTATTTAATTTTTTACCCCCCCCCCCACCCCTACATGGATTAACATATAGATTATCACAATTCCCAACCAAAATGTTTTCTTCAGGCATATATATTGCAACGTTGAGTTGATGTAACTTCCTCCCCCATCCCCAGTCAACCCCACGGTGATTGCTTTAAACTGTGCTCAGATAATACTAACGATTTGTATCTATATTCGGTTGTAAATACAGCTGGATTTTGCATGTTTTCTCTATCATTAGCAGGTTTATTCATGGCGTCACATTCCCCCCTCTACCCGTGTCGGGATTCGTCCACTTTGCTCTTAAACGACTATTTGATTCACTCTAATTAATAATTTAATTAAGTGAAATTATCATTGTTCTGTATATATTTTGCTATTTTTATCCTTGGTGTCACCCCCCTGTATGGTGTCACGCGGTGCGGTTCATACCCACCCTCCACCTTCACGACGCTTATGCATACAGATTTTCTTTTTAATTATTTTTAAATTAAAATTTTTACCTTAATGAAAGGTCTAGAGATTTTACAACCACTCTGTTTCTTGTTAAATACAAATCAGTTGGGTAGACCTTGTCTTCATAAAGAGGTGGTTCTACTTTCTTTATCACACAGGAGACGTGAAAAGTCTCGTGGGACATCGTTACCAGATGAAATTCCGCTGTAGCTGAGATGTATCGCGGTACCCCCAGAATAAAATAACTACCATATGTACCTGCTGGTGAATTAAAAGGGCAACATAATACACAAACTAATACAATTAATGCAGCAAATTAATTATATATTTTAATACAATATATTTTCAATGGTAGATTATTTTCTGTTTGACTAAATTTCGATATATTGGTGACTTCTTAAATTATGTAAAATATCGTTTGACATTTCTTCTCTACATCTGGCCTTTTTCTACTTCAGTATAATAATAATCTTTATATATGATATATTTGATTAGTTATTTTTCTATATTGAAATTATACTTTATTTCACAAATTTTACATCACACTAAAAAGATGTAATTAAAAGAATAATACCTCCATGTACAATTACCAATTGTTGCGTTAAAGTTGTCAAAATAAATACAAACTGATAAAGGATCTGTAAGTAAATATAAAAATATTGGCACTTTAGAAAAAATTTCACCTAAGTTTTATTACATAAACTGGACTGCATAGGCTACCCTAATTAAAGAACGCAAGGCTACATAATCACGGTGTTCGAAAAAAAAATTGGCATTATCTCTCTAATCAATCGACTAATTTCTCTATCGTAAGTCAGATACCCATCAGAGCTGGATTGACTCTGGGGCGCCCTCTGGACTCGAACCCCGGATCCGATATTAACTTCCGGAATAGCAGACATGTGCAGTCGATTTTTTAATGTTTTGAAATGACGAGGGGGAGTAACTGAAACTATGACAATGCTTAAAGATTGCTCTAAAGCACATGTACCGTATTAGAAAACAAAATATTGTGTTAAATGATCCAGATATTCTAGATATTTCTAACCAACTTGCATAAATACAAAACAAAGTACTGAATTGTAGCTCATCAAGTGAAATCGGCACACACTACACAAGTCGCTGTCCCAAATGCTAACATTGCAACACATAGATTTATCCTATTTTATTATTAGTTCTCCTTATGGTTAAGCGTTTTAGCGGAAACTACGAGTAGTTGTTTGGTTTGGAAATGTTGAAATAATTGTTTTTATTTTTATTTTCTTTAAATGTTCCAATTTTTTAATAAAGTTAGGTACATAACATTTGGTATCATACGCAAACTAGCACACAAGTTCCATGTTATTTTATTTTGTTTTATATCGATAACTAGACTAGGTCTATGTAAGTCTACATAAACTCTAGAATCTTGATATGGATATAATATATTATACAATGAATTAGATCGCTGTGTGTTACCTTTAGAGTTAGACAGACATAAAAGTTAAAAAGGGAGTACATAATTTTAAAACTGTCTTGTAACGTCAAACTTAATAAGACAATAATTAATATTAATAATACAATAGGTAATCTATCGTTTTGGGTACGTAAAATCGCCCGCGGCTATTTATGTACGAAAACGTTACCTCATTGTCAAGGCTTTAATAGAAGTATATTGTCATACTTTTGTGTCAAATATTATAGATAAATGAATAATAAACCTAAATCAATGGCTAAATATATCGATATAGGCCAGAAATTAACTTTAAACAGCAGTGTCTGAGAGCAAGATTTGCTATATAAACTATTATAAACAGCAGCCATTTGTAAAATAGAGTGGCTTCCCCCTGAATCTGGCGCTAAAAGCTTATAAAAATAAAACTTAGACAAGATGGCTGCTATAGTAAATGAGCATGGTTGCATCTGTTGGAAACATCGCTAGTCTTCATTTATTACGGAAAAGTTTTAATTCAATTTTTTAAAAACAGGTACATAAATGAATCAAGGAAACATTTTTGAATTTTTTAAAACATAAATCCTCCTCAAAATGTGAAATAATTATTAAAATTTAAGAAGTCACCTGTTTTTCACATTACAAATCGCGGGCGATTTTACGTACCCAAAACGATAGATTACCATACAATATGCACCAATACATAGATCTACCTCCATTTCAAGAACCCATTGGTAAACAGTTTGTTTACTTAAGTTAATAAACCAAGTTGACTACTGTCAATGACAGCCATGTTGTATACGCACCTTGATTCAGTGCCATAAATCTATGTTGTTTAAAAAAAAACACTTTCGCACCTAAATTGATGCGCATGGTAAAAACGGGATAGCTATCACCTCGTCGCTATCGGTTTTACAATCTGAACTATTGTTGTCTAAGACAAATATCCAAAAAACACTTGCCCAAATGCTGTTTGCCCAAAGGCCCGTTTTCCGTTTTGCGATATTTACCCGAATGGACACTTGCCCTAATGCGACAAATGCAGGAATGGACATATATAGACATGACTTACTTTGAATCAAATCAAAAGTAAAGGGCTACAGCTAAAACTCTCAAAAATGAAGGTTTATTGGATTCTTACATTTCTTAAATGTCTTAACGAAGGACTGTAGCCTGCTGTTTGATTTCGTAACCGGACTATCGGCAGATTTACACAATAAATGCAAGAGTATGTTACAAAACTTGTAACTCAATTTTCACCAAATTCTACCGCATTCCTTTACAATGACAATGCAATAATATATTATTTTCAATACAGTACTGCCATGTTAGTTAAATAATAAATTTTAAAACGTACAGGTCATGTGAATAATATTTTTGAAAACTACTATACTTATAACTTTTAAGTAAATGTTATGAAATGAAAATTCTTTTTTTATCATTTTTGTTTTATAACTAACATTTGTGTATAAAATCACGATGTTAGATTGTACTTATACTTCTTAAGATCATACAGTGACACTTCACACATGATCAGATTCTAAATATTTAAAAAAAAAATATTTATGTTTGACACACGACTTTAACATCAACGGTACAAGTAAAGGTAAAAAATTATAGACATTATATGAGTACATTTTTATAATTTAAAACTTGTGTTTGGTCAAATATTATAGACATTATATGAGTACATTTTTATAATTTAAAACTTGTGTTTGGTCAAATATTATATACATTATATTTGGTACATTTTTTTATAATTTTAAAAGCTTGTATTTGGTCAAATATTACAGAGATGTTGTATGGCCCCAAAATTTGAAGTTTTAAAACCTGTGTGTCTTTAGTCAAAAATTATAGACTTGATATGTTATTGCAGTGCAGCAACAGCCGCTAATGTCCAGTCCCAAGAATATATTATACGTATACTTTGCAATACACTCATGTTATACCATATCGCTACTTAAACATAATTTAGGCGTAAGTTTAACACATTAAAACATAAAAATAAACAAACAAATGGATATCATGAGAATAATTCTTGTGCTTCTTAAAGAAATATCTCAAACACAAAATAGATTATGTGTTATAGAATGATTATATTTTCCCTTTCTGTTTTTTCTTTTTCATATATATATATATATATATATATATATATATATATATATATATATATATATATATATATATATATATATATATATATATTTATATATATATGTATATATATGTATATATATATATATATATATATATATATATATATATACACACATATAATATATATTTATTTGCTTATTCATTTATTTATACGACGACGAAATCATTAAATTTATCTCCTTGTAGATCGTATTAAGCCATCAGTTTCGATTTGTTTTGTGACTGTGTATTCTTTAGAAGACACAGTTTTAATGTAAAAACGTTTAACATATTAAAACAAAAAAAAAATTCATAAAAACGTTTTAATAACAAGCTTTTATGAAATAATAAACTAAAAAGGAGAAAAAAATTATACACTACTATTTAAATAACTATAGAGAAAAGCGTGGTTCACTTTAGTATCTATTGGACAACTTTACTTATATGTAGGAAGAGACCCACGCTTTTCTTTATAGGTATTTAAAGAGTATTGTATAATCTATTTTCTCCTTTTAGTGCATTATTACATAAAAGCTTGTTATTAAAACGTTTTTTATGATATTTTTTTGTAGTACTTTACATGTTTTTATTTACAATAGAGTTACATGACTAAAAACAATTGCGCACCTATTGAACGTGATGACGCGTGTGGAGCAGTTGAATTGAACTGCTTACTAATTTGATCAAATTTTAAATTAATTCATAAAAAAAATAGGCATCGAATATAATGTCATGATGCATTGTGTTCATGTCTTGAACTACATTTCAACTACGAACTGTATATGTCAGGTACCTGCAATTTCCCTCGGACGTGTCGATCTAGACAGACAACAGACATACTGACGGGGAAATGAGTTAAATAAAAGCTTGTAAAAATAAAAACACGAAGTGACATCATGAGAATAATGCTTGTGCTTCAAAATAAATGTTTTAAAACCCAAAACAGATTATGTGTTTAAAATGAACTTTATCTCCTTGTAAACCGTGATTAGACATCAGTCACTACTTGTTCTGTGACCGTGTATTCTTTAGAAGACACACGCTTTACTGTCACAACAACATCTGGCTTCTTCTCCAAGCGTAGCCTGAAGAAATTAGAAAATTGTAATATTTTTATCGGTTGAATATAGATTTAATATTTATAAATGCATAATAAGGTTTAAATCTAAATTTAAAAAGAAAAACAGAGGAAATATTTAATGCTACAAGTGAAACCTACCTACTCATACAGAAACCATACAAGGTCCCCAAAAGCAGAACGAGGAATATGTAGTACACAACAGCTGATAAACCCACATCGTATACTGTAAAAACATAAAACCTTTTGTAAATAATTGTACATAAACACGCATGTACTGAACAACATTGAGCACAAATACAAAAGCAAAAATATGTGCACCGAAGAACAACGACATACTTGCAGGACATATTCCTTGCACTCGTTCAATGCAGTCTCGTCCATTACACTTCTCGAGACATGAATGTTTACACGCGTGACCGTAGGTCAATTCAGGACAAGCTGGGAAATAATTTCATCACGTTAGATTAAGCGCCTTTGTTATACCTAAACGAATATTGTTGTGATATACTAAAAATATTCTAGCCGGAAAAACAAATGCATGCGCACTGGAGAGAAACTAATGCCTTCTTTCGCGGGGATGATTTTTATGGTACTTTGCATGCGTGAGTTAACAAATAAACCACAGAACCCTAGCCCTAAACCTCACCCTACCATAACCCTAGCCTTAACACTATCCCTAACCCTAGCGCAGCTATTAAGGTCACAAAGCATGTGCAGAACTATTGAGTTTCGTACTTTCTGCGAAATTTTTTTTCCGAGGAGTCACTTCTAAAAACAATGGTTTGCCTACTAGTCTAGATACTTACGTGCTGTACATTTTTCTCCCGTCCACCCATTTAAACACGGCTGACACTTTCCTGTAATTAGATTACATGTTCCTGTTCCTGCACAATGTCCACATGCAATCTCACAGTAGCGTCCATACTTTCCAACCGGGCAAGGTGCTAAAGGTAAACATATGACAATTCTTTTGTTACCGCAGTGTTCATTGTTTTTTGTACTCGATCGCTTCAAGTAGGCTACTTTCTATTACAAAAAAAAACATTAACTAAATTATCGACGATGTTTTTGATACCTGTTTTCGTCTTTCATTTTGAAGATAATTTCAAGTAAATTTCAAAACATGTTAAAACAATTTAAATTTGAATAGCTGAGCAGGCTACATTCTATTACATTTAAAACAAAAACATATTTATTAACTAAATTATTATCGAGGATAATTTTGAATTGATTTGTGTTAAATTAGTATGTGTTATTAAGCCATGGGTATAATATCATATTTATTTAGTCTCATTTTATGGCAAAGTACTTGTGGATACTGTAAATGTATGAGTGTTTAATCATTTCGCCTATAGCGAGTTGTCAAAATAGTATGAATAGAATTTGAAAAACATTTTATTTGGTCATATTTCGATGAACGATTTTTTTAATGCTAACTAATAAAAAATGGCAAAGTCTTCAACAGAATATTATTAAACAGAATGAAGGAAGCAATAGATCCCCAGCTTCGAGATCAACAGGCGGGCTTTAGGAAGGAAAGGTCATGCATAGACCAAATTGCTACCCTGCGCATCATCATTGAACAGACCCAAGAGTGGAACTCATCTCTCTATATTAATTTCATAGACTATGAGAAGGCCTTTGATAGCCTGGATAGGCAGTCAATGTGGAAATTGCTGAGACACTACGGGGTGCCACAGAAAATAGTCAACATTATTATGTCTTCATATGAAGGTCTCAAATGTAGAGTAGTGCATGGCCAACAGACTACAGAGGCCTTCCCAGTACGGACTGGAGTAAGGCAGGGTTGCCTACTTTCACCATTCCTGTTCCTATTGGCCATAGACTGGGTTATGAAGATGTCAACAGAGAAAACGCGAAACTGAATACAGTGGACATTGTGGAGCCAGCTGGATGACCTGGACTTTGCTGACGACCTGGCCCTCCTTTCTCACACACAACAGCAAATGCAGGATAAAACCAACAGGGTTGCAAATTTTTCTACAAGCCTGGGTCTGAACATCCACAGAGGGAAAAGTAAAGTTCTCAAAGTCAATGCATCAAACAACAACCCTATAACACTGGCAGAAGAAGCCCTAGAAGAAGTGGATAGATTCACCTACCTTGGAAGTATTGTTGATAAGCAGGGTGGGACAGAAGCAGACATAAAAATAAGGACGGGTAAGGCAAGAGCAGTCTTCAACCAACTAAAAAATGTTTGGGGTTCGGGAGATTTAACCCTTAGAATAAAAATCCGGATCTTCAACACACTAGTAAAACCTGTTTTACTCTATGGAGCCGAGACATGGAGAATAACTGCTATAAATAAGAAGAAAATACAATCATTTATAAACGCATGTCTCAGAAAGATCCTGCGAATTCGCTGGCCTAAAACCATCAGAAATGATGTTCTATGGCAACGGACAAATCAACTGCCATTGGAAGTAGAGATCCTCCAGAGAAAATGGAAATGGATTGGCCACACACTCAGGAAGCCTGTATCCAGCATAACAAGACAGGCCCTCACCTGGAATCCACAAGGCAGGAGGAAGAGAGGCAGACCAAGAAAGACCTGGAGA